TCACTGATGGAAGCAGCTTCATACATGAAGGACAAAGGTATGCGGGCACAGCAGTTGCTTCTGAGTCTAAAGTAATCTGGGCGGGACCCCTACCTGCAGGAACCTCGGCCCAGCATGCTGAATTAGTAGCACTAACCCAAGCTCTGACCTTGGGCAAAGACAAGAACATCAATATCTATACTGATAGTCGGTATGCTTTTGCCACAGCCCACATCCATGGGGCAATATATCGGGAAAGGGGGCTATTGACGGCAGAAGGAAAAACTATCAAAAACAAAGAAGTTCTTGGCTTGTTAGTAGCCTTATGGTTACCGAGAAAACTGGCCATTATCCACTGTCCAGGACACCAGAAAAATGACACTCCAATTGCTAGGGGCAACCGTCTCATGGACAGGACTGCCTGTCAAGCCACCCTAAAAACAACAGTCGTGGCCGCTGCCAAGCTCCCAGATCCAGGGTCCCCAAATCTGCCTGAAGAGCCAACTTACATGCCTGAAGATTTAAAATGGATAACTCAGTTGCCTATGACTCAATACCTCCAAAAATGGTGGCACACTGCTGACAATAAAGTCATATTACCTGAGAAATTAGGAGACCAGCTCCTAACCAAGATATACCGGACAACCCACATGGGCACCAGAAAGATGCAAGACCTCATCAGACAAGGAGGAGTTAAGATTCAGGGCATGCAGTCCAAAATTGACCGCATTTTGTCTGAATGCAAAGCTTGTCAATTGACAAATGCCATCTCGAATCCACCTAATCCTGGCACCCGGAAATGTGGGGAAAAACTGGGGGCCTATTGGGAAACTGACTTTACCGAGATAAAACCTGGTCAGTATGGGTATAACTATTTATTAGTTTTTATAGACACATTTTCAGGATGGGTAGAGGCCTACCCCACCAAACATGAAACAGCCCAGGTGGTGGCTAAGAAGTTGTTAGAAGAGCTCCTGCCAAGGTATGGTTTCCCTGCTATGCTAGGGTCTGATAATGGACCAGCTTTTGTGTCCAAAGTAGTTCAGGGACTGGCATCAGTGCTTGGGGCAGATTGGAAATTACATTGTGCATACAGGCCCCAAAGTTCAGGACAGGTAGAAAGAATGAATAGAACCCTAAAAGAGACCTTGACAAAATTGACTAAGGAGACTGGCGGCTACTGGGTGGCTCTCCTTCCCTATGTGCTTTTCCGGGTGCGTAACACCCCATATAAACTAGGTTTAACCCCTTTTGAAATTATGTTTGGAAGACCCCCTCCTATTGTACCTAGCCTGCAAACCAAAATGATTAATGACCTAGATGATGATGATAATACACTTGTCCGTTCCCTTCATGCCCTGCATCAGACCCAGAGACACATCTGGACCAGACTAAAAGCCTTATATGAATCTGGACCACCACCAGAACCTCACCAATACCAGCCAGGTGACTGGGTGTTCGTCAAGTGACATCGGCGAGGAAGCCTGGAACTGCACTGGAAGGGACCTTATGTAGTAGTCCTCGTGACCCCTACTGCACTCAGAGTAGATGGCATTGCAACCTGGATCCACTATACCAACGTACGACCAGCTGACCTCTTTGCCCTTCAGGAACAGTACCTTCCATCAAGATGGACAGCGTCAAAAGATCCCGCAAACCCACTGAAGCTCCATATCCAAAAGACTTATTACTAATCCTTGTTGTATTCATCATTGACTCTGTTAACTGTAGTCCCTGCCCTAGTGACTGCTGGACCCCATTAACCCCATGCAGGGGGGACAGGTACTTTACTGTTTCAACCTATGTCCATGCCTCCTGCTACACACATGCTGTAGAGTGCCAGTATTGAGGAAAAGGCTATTTCACAGCAACTGCAAAGCGGGGGAGTAGCCATACGTCCAGATGCCCTAGTCAGCCAGTTAAAAAGTTCTGTTTTTCCTGACTTACCCACTATGGCATGTCAGACGGTGGGGGAGCTCAGGATGGAGTCAGGCAACAGATTCAAGAAGAAGTAAAGCAGAATCTGTTAACTCTGGGCAAAGAGTTAACCCCAGAATACAGGCCCAACCAGCTATTAGAACAAGTCCAACAAGCTCTTCGGCCTCTGGACTTCTCCCACCAGATTATTACAAGTCTAAATGACACCTATCAAGTTTTGAGTGTAGATCTAAATAATACCCCTTGCTGGATCTGCCTGCCTCTAAGACCAAAACCCTTTTTTGCTTGGCCAGTCCCCTGGTCTTGGATTGAAACTCAAAATCTCACTTCTAATTTGACCAGGGCTAAAAACTCAACCCTAGTAGTAGGTCCCTTAACAGATGAAATCGTCCTTATGTCCAATAATGCCTCCTGTGTAATTACTAACCATACCTTGTTGGTGGAAGTCCCCTGTAATGACTCCTCCAGCCTTCAGGATACAAGTCCTATCTGTGGTAAGCCCGGAATATTCTTTGTAATGGCTCTGTTTTAATGCAATGTCTCCCTGCTAAATGGACACAACCCTGTACCCGTGTTCCTTACCCCACCCCTAATTGTTTTTAGCCCTGCCACTATGACCTCCATGACCCTGTCCACAAGGCGCCAAAAGTGAGCTCTTCCACTTGGAGCTCTGCTCATAGGAGGAAGCCTGGCGACCGCTATAGGGCTGGGAGCAGGAGGCTTGGACACAGCCACCCATTTTTATTACAAACTCTCTATGGACATTAGTCAGGACATAGACAAGGTAGCAGATTCTCTCCTGGCCTTACAAACCCAGATAACTTCTCTGGCCAGGGTGACCTTACAAAACCGTCAAGCTCTAGACTTGCTTACAGCAGAGAAAGGAGGTATGTGCCAGTTTCTAGGGGAAGAATGTTGTTTCTTTGTGAATGCATCGGACATAGTCCAAAATAAGGTCCGAGAGTTAAAATAATCTGTTAAAAAGCACCTGTCTGAGGCAGAAGCCTTTGATTTATTTAACTGGTGGAAAACATCCCGAGGTAAATGGCTTATTCCACTCCTTGGACCCCTCACTGCCCTGATGCTTATCCTAACCCTAGGTCCCTGTATAATTAGCAGAATACTCAACTTAGTTAAAGAAAGGATAGGAACAATCCAGTTGATGGTTATGCGGTCTCAATACCATTACCTAGAGACCGAAGAAGAAAGTGCTCATGATTGAGCTAGGGTGCAGAAGAAGGGGGGAATGAGGGACTACATTTTTGTAACCAATACGTCATTTTAAAATGTATACGCCTCTAGAGCAGTAAACTGAAAGCAGTGGGGGAAGGGGGAAAAGAGCCCCCACCCAAACATCAGCCAATCCTGTATCACCCTGTTTTTGCACCCTTCCTTTGAATCAGTCAATCCTGTATTGCCCTGTTTTAGCAGGCTTTCCCCTTTAAATAGGCGGGACAGCCCAGAATCAAGGCCGTGGCCATTTTCCATACTATATTGGCACGGTTCAGAGTGCGGCCCAGATTCGAATCTGAAATTCCCTCTTGCCCTTGCATCGGTGTCGGCTCCTTGGTGACTTGGGGGGAACTGGATTTGGGGCATAACACTCATAGCGACCCTATGTACAAGAGCTCTAAATGCTGTTCTATCCTGTGCCAACCTAGCCATCTCAAACGCACTTATTCCCACTGCTCCAGTCACAGAATCGATCCATCTCACCACAGGTCTTCCTCTCCTTCACTTCCCCTCCACTCTGCCAAACATGATGTCCCTTTCCAAGGACCAGTCCCTCCTTGCAACATGCCCAAAATATGTCAGCCGAAGCTTCAGAATCCTTGACTGCAGGGAACACTCTGGCTTCACCCTCTCCAGGACAAACCTGTTTGTTCTCCTAGCAGTCCATGGTATATTCAACACTCTTCTCCAGCACCACAGCTCAAAGGCATCAATCCTCTATCAGCCCTATTCGCTGTCCAACTCTCTGATGCATAGCACATAATTGCGAAGACTATAGCTTGGATCAGGCACACCTTAGTCTCCAGCCTGACATCGTTGCTCTTCAGTACTCTTGAGAGGTCCCTCACAGCCGACTTTCCCAATGCAATTCATCTCCTGATTTCCTGGCTGCTGTTACCAAGAGCATTGACTGTGGAGCCAAGTAAATTAAAACTGTTAACTATCTCAATCTCTTCACCATCCATACTGATGCTGCCAATTGGCCCAGTGGTTACAATCTTTGTTTTCTTGACATTTAGCTTCAGTCCATACAGGAGGCTGTAGTCCTTGATCTTCTGCAGCAAGCGCCTCAGGTCCTCCTCTGTTTCAGCAAGCAGGGTTGCGTCATCTGCATAACGCAGGTTGTTGATGATTCTTCCACCAATCCTGATGCCACATTCCTCCTTATCTTTTTAAATTTTTATTATTATCATTATTAATTTTAATAGACATTTACAGAGGTTTTGGATTTCCATTCACTCATTGCCGCACTTTTCTCCCTGCCCACCCCTCCCCACCAGCTCGCTTCCCCCTCCAAAGAGAAAAAAAAATTCCTTCATTAGTATACAATTCCCACAGCCCCTCCCCCCCACCTCCCACCCTGAGTACACTTCTCTATGCAACCTTAATCCTGGATTCCTGTGCTAACCACAATACTCAATCATATATCATTTCTAATCTGTTCTTTCCCTAATCTGTTTCAATACAATATACATAATTTATCCAGTTTTTTTCTGTCATACCCCCACCCTGATGTCAGACCCATTTTACAACAGTGGCACCATCCTCTTCTTAAATTAACCGTTAGCAGCGCCGTTTATTCGTCCCCAGACGTCACTAGCCAATCCACTCACCCCGCGCAAGCGCGGGGAGCGGTATGCGCATGCGCATGCGCAGCGCAAAGCCCCGCCCACACGCCCGCCCTTCGCACGCCTTCTTCTCTGCCTCCCACTCTCACTTCCGTCGTTTCCCAGCGACGGCCGTAAGTGGCGGGCGGAAGCGGCCCACTAGGCTCGCCGTAAACGGCCCGGCTCGCGCCACTTCCGGCCGCCTTCCACAGACAGCGCTGGTGGGCGATCGTCAGTCGCCGGAGGACGTTCCCCGCGGCCAGAGCCATGGATATGCCGCTGCCGCCCGATGGTAAGGTTCAGACCAACTCGGGCACCGTTTCTCTGTTCTTCCGAGTGAGCCGTTGCCCGCTCCGCCTCCTGGGGGGGTCCCTGCGCCTGCGAGGGGGCGGGGTTCGGCCTCCAAGGTTGGCCTGCGGCCTCTCGGCGGGACCCCGCGTTCTGCGCGCGTGGGTGTTCCCTATCGGGACCCGTACGAGAGCCGCCTCTGCTCGGCCCGCCCCGAGCGACCCCGCTCGGGCCGAACAGGCCTCGGGCGCCCGCTCCCCGGTTTGGGCGGTTCCGGCTGACGCTCCGCGTGGCCTTTTCTCCTCTCTGCAGACCAGGAGCTTCGGAATGTCATCGACAAACTGGCCCAGTTCGTGGCTCGCAATGGGCCCGAGTTTGAGAAGATGACTATGGAGAAGCAGAAGGACAACCCGAAATTCTCCTTCCTTTTCGGAGGCGAGTTCTACAGTTATTACAAGTACAAGCTGGCGCTGGAGCAGCAGCAGCGTGAGTTCTCCCCGGTTCCCAGGCCTCCCCCCTCGTGCGATTCCCCGCCGAGTTGCCCCACTTCGCCTGGAGTCTCAACGCGCCTTCCCTGGGCATCGGGGCGGCTCGGTCTGCACCGTCCCTTTCTGCTCTCACATATCCTTGCACGGAGCGGGCGCGGGGCCAGTGTGTGATGGGGAAGGCGGTTGTCGATCCTCGCGGGGCTTTGGGTCAGACATTCCGCCGTTGTCAGGTGTGAGAGTTGAAGTCTGCTGACAGAGATGCGTTAAGTGTTTCCCAGGGAGAAAGTGCTAGCAGCTGCCCGTGGTCCGCACTCGGGGACTGTCGGGGCCTCTCTGTGTGTTCTGGGGCCCGCCAGCCTTTTCTGCATTTCAGATGCCTCCAGCTGTCAGGACGAAAAAGAATTGCCTCTGTCTTTTGTCCGTTGGTTGTTGCTGTCAAGTTGATTCCGACTCTCATGCGTCCCCGTGTTAGTGTAGAAAGTGTGGCTCCTTAGGGTTTAACAGGTTTTGATCTTGCAGAAGCAGATCTCCAGGCTCTTCTTCCGCAGCACTTCTTGTGGGTTCGAAGATCTTTTTACTGGTCGAATGCTTAACTGTTTGTGCTGTGTAATTTCTGTTGAATGTGTTTATAACTACTTGTTACCATGGTGTTCTTTTGTTTTTGTAATCAGTGTCTGTCAGTTCAGAATTAACTTGATTTTTGACCTTGGCCTCCAAAGAGTTTAACCTGGTCCTGGGGAGACGCAGCTGGGTTTTGAAGAAAGAGTAAACCTTGGAGGCAAAGATGATGATGCCTGATCTCATGCTTTGGACATGGTGCTGGGAGAAGTTATTCCTCGGAGAGGGACATTAGGCTTTGAAAGGTGGAGGGATGGGGAATGAGAGGAAGACCCTCAACCAGCTGAATTGACACAGTAACTGTAGCAATGGGCTCAAATATGTCAGAGATTGTGAGGAAGGTATAAGATAGGACAGGATTCAGATCTGTTGTTCATAGGGTCGTACCTGACTTGATGGCGCCTAATAACAACAGGTGGTTTCGGGCAGGTAGAGCCTCCATCTACTTTCAGGAGCAGATGCTCCGTGTCTGGATGTGGTGTTCGACACAATGGGTTGTCATTGGCTGTTGTCACATTAACCCCTAACGGTGAGTCATGTTCACAAAGAGATACGGGTAAGCCATGGAGTTTGAAAAGTAGCTTGTCAGCCTTTTTCTCTAGTCTGTCTTGGCCTGGAAATTCTTCTGCCACCGTTTCCTATGAAAACAACCCACAAGGCTATACAGACAAAAGGCAACTTCTGCTTTGAGTTGGTCTAGACTAACGGTGACCCCTGTATGTCACAGTAGGGTTTTCAGTGACTGGTCTTTTGAAAGTATCGCCAGGCCTTTCTCCCTTCTGTCTGGACCCAAACCTCCTACTTTTCTGTAAGCACCAAGCATATTTGTATTTGCATTACCCAGTGACTCCAGCTAGTGCTTGCAGTACATATATGTTTTGTCCCATGGTGTTACATGCCAGGGGATGGTTGAGTTTTCTTTGTAGCTCAATGACCCTTCTGTTTCCTCGTGAAATTAGAGGTAGTGGAGGGAGACAGCTGTCTGGAGTTGTTGGTAAAACACCTGTGCTGGTGTGTTTATGGAGCGGTCATACTGCACTCTAAGCATTCCACATTTGCAGCTGTTGCTACTGAAGCTTAAAGACAAGGGAAGGACATCTTGGGTTTGTGTGGCCAGAATGGAGGACCAGGTAGAAGCAACATGAGGAAAGGCTGTGGGACCAATGAACCACTGAGGAATGGAGAGATCTGGATCAATGAGAGGACATGAGGATGGGGGTTTCAGTGGTAGACTCCAGTGAATGTTGATAAGACTGGCATACAAGGGGGAGCAGAAGACAAATGATACAGTATAACCTGGCTTGAATCAGTAGGTGGTGAGAGTGGCTTTTCCTGGAGGCAGCGGTGGCACACGCCTTTTTCCTCGAGGGTCAGAAATCAGGAGCTGTTCATCCTCTAGACATTGTAATGGGAAGGATGAGTGGGGTCTTTTCTGCGGGGGAGATTTGGCTCATGAAGAGTTTTCTGTAGCTGTTTCCCTTCTGGAACCTCAGGACTGGAGTTAGCCAGGTGCAAAACAAGAGTAGGAGAGTGTCCTGGCCAGAGATGAGCCTTTGAGGGGGCAGGGGTGATGGCAACAGGGAAGGCTTGACAGCCGGAACCCAGAAGAGAACAGTTGGAGAGGCTGAGGTGGGGAAGAAGTTAGGCATTTGTTCTAAGAGCTTTAGGGACCTTGCGTTGCTAGCCTGCAGCTTCTTGAGGCTAGAAGACAGTGGAGCTGTATTGGAAGGAGGGTGACAAGACTGCCTCATGGCCCACAGTGTTGAGAATCTATTGACTCTCCACCTGAAAGTGGAGACCCTTCAGAGGGTCAGTTTTGGTGGGAGCCCCCCTCTTCACACATCCTCTCTCTTCCTCTCCTCCAGTCATTTGCAAGCAGCAGGCCCCCGAGCTGGAAACAGCTGCAGCCCTACCACCTCTGCCACAGCCCCCTCTGGCCCCCACAGCACCTATCCCACCTGCCCAGGGTGCCATGTCCATGGACGAGCTCATACAGCAGAGCCAATGGAACCTGCAACAGCAGGAGCAGCACTTATTGGCCCTACGACAGGTAAGTGCTGGGTCCTGAGGTGGTACCAGGAGTGCATAGGACTTCACCCAGGCCCAGCCCCCTGGGCCTTTGATTCCCACATTCCAGTTGGAAGTGACGTAATGCAGCATGGGCCTGTTCTCTACTGCTGACTAGAACCTTAGCCAAACCCTGTCCACAGTCTCTGGGCTGATCTCACCTCTGTATCCCCATACTCTGTCCTGGAGACTGGCCCTTTCCTTGTGTTTTGCCAGACTGACAGGCACACGCAACAGTCTGCTGTAATCTTCTCCTCTCTCAGTCTTTACCGGCTTGCTGATCTTGTGTTTTCTTTCCGGTCTGCTCACAGCTTTCACTGTCTCCCATCTTTCATTTCTCTGCTCAGCTGAGTCAGTCTTTACCTTTTACCTTAACAACAGACAGCATTGCTCCATGTCCTGGCTGCCCACAGACAGGGCCTGTGGGAGGGGCTCTCCTGTGGCAGGGTGAGAGCCCGCACTCACTCTCTGGCCTGCCTAACCCCCCAGGAGCAGGTGACAGCGGCTCTAGCCCATGCAGTGGAGCAGCAGATGCAGAAGCTCCTGGAGGAGACTCAGCTGGACATGAACGAGTTCGATAACCTGCTCCAACCTATCATCGACACATGCACCAAGGATGCCATCTCGGTGAGGGCCACTTGCCTGGGGGAGAAGGCTCACTTTGGCACTGTTACCATTCTACCTGGCGTTAGGAGCCCACATCATCCTGTCCGAAGCCTTTGCACCTTTCCATTTCACTTGGGCTGCCAACCTTAGGTTCTGAACCCCACGTCCTATCCACTCAGTGCTGGCCAAGGCAGCAGGCGGACGGGCAGGCATGCGCTCTGATCCCATGGGCTTAGTGGTGTGGCTCTGCCGGTGGGTCCTGTCCTCACACTGTCTGGTACTCACAGGCTGGCAAGAACTGGATGTTCAGCAATGCCAAGTCGCCACCACACTGTGAGCTAATGGCTGGCCACCTGCGCAACCGGATCACGGCAGACGGGGCACACTTTGAGCTGCGGCTGCACCTCATCTACCTCATCAACGACGTGTTGCACCACTGGTGAGCAGGGCCCCTCACCTGCCATCCACCCTCCAGTCACAACCTGAATCCATACCCTTGGGGGGTTCCATGTGAGACCCTTGTCCCTCTGGGCATCCCAGTCAGGCCTCCAGCTCCACCCCTGCTCCCGGCTCTAGGCTGGCCTTAATGGTCTCTGTGCTCTGTGGTCCTTATGCTCTGCTGCACTGTCAGGACCCGGGTCTGTGCTCACGCACATTCACACCCTGTCTGCCCCAGCATCTTCATACAAGAGCCATCCTACCACCTAAAGCCAGACAGGGCTGCTCTCAGCTCAGCTACTTGGCAAGGACTTTGGTGGCATGTGAGAAGCTAATAGGAGACCAGGAGTCTGGAACAGCTAGGGCAGGGGTAGGGCTGGCACAGTTGGGCTGCTGCTGGGTTGTTGGAATGGCCCAAGCAGAGACGCTTTGGTTATGGACACAGTTGTGAGTGGGGCAGGCCAAGCCAGGCCTTGGGAGCAATTTCCCAGCTTCTCCCTGCAGTATGAGACAGCTGAGGCTTGAAGCCCACCCTGTCTCCTGCATGGCCTTGTGGCTCAGCTTCCCTCACCGCCCTTCTTTCTCCCAAGAGATGAGATGCTCCCAGAACCTTCCTGCTTTGCCGCATTTTTTACTGCTGTCCTGCTTCTTGTGTTTCCCCTTTGAAAAGAAGCCTTTTATCCATGGTTAAGGCCAGTGTTGTGCTCTCAGAGGCCACGTGCTGTTCTCGGCCGGCCTGCAGGACCTTGTTCTCCACAGAGATCCTTTCTTGGAAGCCTGGCTTCACATGTGGCCCACATTGCTCACTGGGGCCTTTCTCCCTCCCCCTGGCAAGGAGGGTGGAGCCAATGGGGAACCTGCAGGGGGTCCCTTCACATAGTCATTACTGGGCTCAGGCCCTGCCATTTGAAGCACGGATGAGACACAGAGGCCTGGGTTAGTGTGTTCCCTCCTGTGAAGTCTGTGTATGTGGCATGAGTTGCTTTGGCTCAGTGGCTGCCTACAATAGCCCAGTGGTACCCTTTACCTCATCACTAGCCCCTGGGCAAAGATCCCGTGAGGGACTAGAAGTTAGTGAACTAACTTCTGTTAGCTAGGTCCACATCCCCCTCCCATTGCTGTCCCCTGACCCTCAGGCCCCTACACTAGCCCAACCTCCCCTGGTCCAGAGCTCACAGAGGGTGTGGTGGCTGGAGCTGCAGTGTTGGTGGGCATGTGACTGGGTCCCACCGGAGCCCTGATGCGAGGAAGGTCTCTCTCTTACAGCCAGCGCAAGCAGGCGAGGGAGCTTCTGGCTGCCCTGCAGAAGGTGGTGGTGCCCATCTACTGCACGAGCTTCCTGGCCGTGGAGGAGGACAAGCAGCAGAAGATTGCCCGGGTGGGTACTGTGGGGAGCAGTGGGGTCAGGATCTCAGGGGGGCACCGTCTCTTCCAAAACTGACATCCCTTTTTCATACCAGCTTCTGCAACTCTGGGAAAAGAATGGCTACTTCGACGACTCTATCATCCAACAGCTGCAGAGCCCGGCCTTGGGGCTGGGTCAGTACCAGGTAGGCTCCTGGGCCAGCACTAGGATCCCTGTTGCTACCAGCGGACCTACGCCCTACCTGTGCTGGGGAGATCAGAGGCAACTGGTTGAGCTGGTGGCTGCAGGGTCCTAGGATCATGATGAGGGGCCTTGAACAGCAGCTCCTTGGGCTGCTCCCCTCTATCCATTTACCATGTAGTGTGCACCTGTGCTTGGTCACCAAGTGTGCCCACTGCTCACAGGTGAGGTTTTTCCTGTTTCTGCTCAGGTATTTTGCATGTATAGGATGTGAGGACAGCTGCTGTGGTGATGTGTGAAATTTATCTGGGGACCTGCTAACTCCTCTGTCTCCCCTATCTCCACTTGGCTCAAGAGACTGCAGCTCCTGTTAAGTAGGATTGCTGTCCTAGCTGCTAGGCAAGGTGTTGGCTTCCTAACCACCTCTGCAGCTCTGGCCATCTGTGAGGTCCTACTATTTACCCCAGCTCAACAGTGACTCTTCTGACTGCCTCATGTTTCCCACAGAGGCTCAGTGCTCAGGCCATAGGAATGCATTTTGCATTTTTCTCACGTAAACACGAGCGCTCTCTTTCTGTGTCTTTCTGCGTCTCTCTCTCTCTTGTGGACTTGCCTCATTATCATAGAGTTAGCACGAAGATGGACTCATAGCAGACCCTCCACTGGGTCTGCAAGGCTGTAAATTGCATGGAGAAGAGTGTCCATCTTTTTCTCTCAGTGACACTGTTAGATTGAACTACCAGAAGGGCTTGGCCTTTGCCTTCTTGACCTGGATCTCCTCTCAGCACATGTGCACCAGCACAGCCCCTTCCTGTATCTTGAGGTTTCAAGACCTTCTGAGGCTTGTCTGGCTGTGAGCTTTCCTTTACAGCTCACTGAGGCTCTGGGACACTCTGATGTTTTAAGTCCTTCAGCCTGTGCTTGGGGTGTAGGCTGTCTAGGTGACTACATCTTGTCTTCCATCACTAGGATCCTATATTCTGCTTATAGCCAGGCTCCATACTCTGTGGTCACAGCATGTTTACTGTCTACAGAGTAGTCACCACATACCCTGGGCCTTATTGTCCACTGTTGCACTTCTTGGGGTCTGGGGCGGAGAAGGGAGCTTCCAGCTGACTGTCAACTACTCCCCTCCACCAGGCAACACTCATCAGTGAGTACTCATCGGCAGTGCAGCCGCTGCAGCTGGCCTTCCAGCAGCAGATCCAGACCCTCAAGACCCAGCATGAGGATTTCGTCAGCAGCCTGGCCCAGCAGCAGCAGCAGCAGCAGCAGCAACAGCAGCAGATCCCGATGCCTCAGCTGGATGCAGACGTCAAAGCCACACCACCACCAGCTGCCCCTCCACCGGCCCCTGCTCCCACCCCAGCCATCCCACCCACCACGCAGCCAGGTAGGCCCCTCGCTGGTCACACTGATGACCTCTGGGGCCCCACTTTAATCTGCTCCACAAGCCCTCGGTCCAGACACTTCTCCAGGACCTTAGAAGCCACGTAGGGAGGAAAGGGCATGAGCTTGACCTTGCCTAGGGTCGTTTCTGAGCACTGCTATGAGACCACCATGTGAACACTACCAGTGGGATTAAAAAACCAGCAGGACTCAACCTGCCGTCATTGAATCCCCTCCAGCTTGTGGAGACCCCAGCAAGGGATGTTTTGGAAGTATATTAGGGAGAAATTACTACTTCACTAGCAGGCAGATTTTTATCAGGAAGAGAAGGGTTAGAAAATTTAGTGATTAAAGGTTATGTTCCCTGATGGTAGAAATTGAGTTACAAATGCACACTGAGATGGCAGAGGTGGCCTCAGGTTCACTGTAAAACCTTCCAAGAAGCTGAGCATGTACCTGTGTGAGCGGGTGGTAGGTTTTGGCGGTGGCCCTAGGCCATTGGCTTGGCCAGGCAGCCCCAGGGTAATAAGGGACGGCACAGTGGGCTGGCGCCCCCTACAGGCAGGGCCTTTAACTGCTTCTGGTGGCTTCCAGAGGACAAGCAGCCCCCCATTCAGATACCTGGCTCTTCCGAGTACGATGCATCAGGAGGGGTTCAGGACCCTGCAGCTGCTGGTGCCAGGGGCCCCAGGCCCCATGACCAGATCCCGCCCAACAAGACCCCTTGGTTTGAACAGCCTCACCCTGTCGCTCCCTGGGGTCAGCAGCAGGTAGGTTTGGGAACTTGTGACTGGGGCAGGAGGGGGATTCTGGAGCCTGTGGGTGGTGGGCAGGGTGGCTGGTGGCAGTCCAGGAAGAAAACGTGTGGTAAGCTTTTTCCATTGTGGGAGGCAGAGCTTTAGCTGGTCATAATTCCTTCTTGAGGCACATCTTCGTGATGCAGACCAGTCCTGGGAGGGCTGGACACTTCGTCCTGTGTGGTAGGAGTTCTCTTTAACTGGGACATCAGAGGTCCTGGTACTAAGCTGGAGAGGGCAGACTAGGGGTCTGGCATTCACTGAGAGATCACAAACACAGACCATCTGTGTTTCTGGGGGCATTCTCCTCCCTGTGGGGGTGTATGCCCCAATCCTCCCCTGAGGACAGAAGGTCTCCTTTCTTGAGTGTGGCTCCCATATACCCACCACTCCCTCAGTGAGAGGAGGTGCGGGGCATGGGTGGGAGGCAGCTCTGACCCAAGGCCTGGGGGCCATCAGCATGACAACAGACACTCTCCCCTCCTTGAGGGCTGGATGGCCTTGAGCCACCCTCTTTTGGCCATTCAGCAGCTGCTTGTTTTGTAGATGTGGAAACTGAGGCTATTAAAGTCTGGGTGCCATCAGTGTACCCTGAACAGGCAGGCGGGGCTCTGTGACATGCCAGTTCCTGGTGCTCGGGGTCCACCCCACTCGCTGTCATTGGGCTTCATCCTTGCCGTGTTGATTCTGTCCATCGGCATTTGGGCTCCTCCAGCAATGGCCCTAAACCAGGATTTAGGACAAAGACTGTGTCTGGGAGGAGTCCCAGTAGACAGCCTGGGTGGGAGGATGGCGAGAGAGGGTTGGAGCATATTGAGCTCAATCCACCACCAGGCTTGGCAAGTCAGGTCTTTGGGGAGACGCACTGGTGGGACAGGAAGTTGGCTGTGTGTCACCTGGTGGCCTTGGGCCTAGGTGATAACAGCATTTGTCACAGACCAGAACTACGTGGAGACATTCACCCAGTGTCCCTCATCTCCTTGGTGTCGTGGGGTCTGCCGGGCCCCCATGTCCTGGCACTGGCTCCACCTCACCAGCACTGCCCTCTGCCTTGCAGCCTCCAGAACAGCCCCCGTACCCGCATCACCAGGGTGGGCCACCTCACTGCCCACCCTGGAACAACAGCCATGAGGGCATGTGGAACGAGCAGCGTGGAGGTGACCCCGGCTGGAGTGGACAGCGCGAGGCGCCCTGGAGTGGACAGCCAGAGCCTGGCTGGAGTGGCCAGTTCGAGGGCCCCTGGAATAACCAGCATGAGCAGCCACCCTGGGGTGGTGGGCAGCGAGAGCCCCCCTTCCGCCTGCAGCGCCCACCTCCCTTCCGAGGACCCTTTCCCCCACACCAGCAGCACCCGCAGTTCAACCAGCCGCCACATCCCCACAACTTCAACCGCTTTCCGCCACGCTTCATGCAGGACGACTTCCCCCCTCGCCACCCCTTTGAGCGGCCCCCCTACCCACATCGCTTTGATTACCCCCAAGGTGATTTTCCGGCAGGTGAGTGTGCTCAGACTCGGGTGGGAAGACAGGGCTCACAGAGAAGGTCCAGCCTAGTGCTGGCACTCCAGCCTCCTGAAATACACACCCCCCACCCCACCCCCGCCTGTTTTCTATATTGCAGAGATGGGGCCACCACATCACCACCCTGGCCACCGCATGCCACATCCCGGGATCAATGAGCACCCCCCCTGGGGTGGGCCTCAGCACCCTGACTTTGGACCTCCACCCCACGGCTTCAATGGGCAGCCTCCCCACATGCGACGGCAGGGCCCCCCCCACATCAACCATGACGACCCCAGCCTGGTGCCCAACGTACCCTACTTCGATCTGCCTGCGGGGCTAATGGCCCCCCTGGTGAAGGTATGTGATCACAGCAGCTTTGGGGCCCCTCTCCTAATGTCAGTGGTTGAGCCCTTCCTGTGGGGGATTCCCGCCCGTGCAGAACCTGAGTGAGTTGGGCGGTCAGCAGAACCCTGAGCCCACGTCCCTGTGCCCTTGAACAGATCTCACTTCTGGCACGGTGGCTTGGCAGCAGTGGGCTCCAGACCCTGCTAGGGTGCCTCCTGTTTCTGGGCAGGGTCCTTATCAGCAGTGGGGTTGGGGGCAGAGACAGGCTGAACTGTTGACAGTGTCTCTGACAAAGTAGATGTTCCTCACTGCCCGAGTTGGGGGGTTGTTGTGGGGAGATCCCTATCAGCAGCTTTCCTACCCCAGGATCTCTACCTGCACTGGGCTTGTACACACCTGCCCCACACCTGCCCCACCCCTGCCCTGTGTGATGACTCTGGTGCTCTCACTGCAGCTGGAGGACCATGAGTACAAGCCGCTGGATCCCAAAGACATCCGCCTCCCACCCCCGATGCCGCCCAGTGAGAGGCTCCTGGCTGCCGTGGAAGCCTTTTACAGCCCCCCATCGCATGACAGGCCTAGGAACAGGTACAGACCACGGGGCCATGCACGAAGAGCCCCAGGGAGGGTGGGAGCAGCTGCCCTCAGCCATGCCACTGTCTAGTGTTTGTACAGCTCTAGGACCCTCACCCGAGCTGTGGGTGCAGCACACACAAAGCAGGCCGATAGTTAAGGGCATTTAATTCAGATACTTCAGAAGTTACCTCACCAGGCTTCTCTGGGAAGCTGCCTTGTGGGGAGTCAGGCCTAGTCTACTTTTGTGCAGTGAGTGACAGGCGAGATCTTTGACCCTTCGGGAGTCTGTCAGGTGCCACCTATCTCTGGCATCCTCATGGGTCAGTCTTAAGAAATGTCCTATCTTGCTTGTAGTGAAGGCTGGGAGCAGAATGGCCTCTATGAGTTCTTCCGAGCAAAGATGCGGGCCCGGCGGAGGAAAGGCCAGGAGAAGAGGAACAGGTAAGGGCGTCTGTGCAAAGGTCGGTTTCTATCATGACCATCCCGTGGTGCCAGAATCCTCAGCCTGAACCCTGAGATGAAGAAAGCTGGTGGAGACAGGCTTTGTGGCTGAGGTGACAGAACTAATCCCTCCCTTTCTTCCAGTGGACCGTCACGGTCAAGGAGCAGATCCAAGAGCCGAGGGCGCTCCTCCTCTCGATCCAACTCGAGGTCCTCCAAGTCGTCTGGCTCCTACTCACGCTCTCGGTCCCGCTCCTGTTCCCGGTCCTATTCCCGCTCCCGGTCTAGGTAGGTGGCAGCTCGCAGCACCAGGGCTGTTCCTGACACTTCCCATTTCGTTACTTAATGGTGTCCTTCCCTAATAGGAGCCGGAGCCGCTCGAGGTCTTCACGAAGCCGGTCACGGTCCAGGTCCCGCTCCCGGTCCAAGTCATACTCCCCTGGCAGGAGGCGTCGGTCTCGATCTCGGAGCCCAACTCCACCGTAAGATTACTGTCTAACTGTTGTGTTACCTTCAGGTAGTGCTGAATCCTCCGGGATGAGCTGTGAATGTTTAAACAGTGGTCATTAGAAGACACAGCCTTCGAGGGAGGCAGCCCATGTCAGCACGTGCGCGTGGTGCCACCGCCCGATGCTGACAGCTGCCCCTGCTCGGTTGGTCATGGAGCCCGGTAGCGGCCGGGCTGCCTATTTTCTAACCCTTCCAGGGGTGCCTGTGACCTGCTCTGCGTGCTAAGTTTGGGGTGGGGGTCACCTGAGGAAAGCCCCTTCTCTGGCTGAAGAACAGAACGGTGAAAACTTAAAAGACGTATGTGGGTGTCCATCCCATAATGGTGACTGTCCGTGTGCGCCACACACTGTGACATCCTAACCGTTCAATAAACGTGGCCGTGACCTTGTGAACACCATGACCTGTCTTGGTTTTAGTTCCTCGGCTGGTCTGGGTTCTAACTCTGCACCGCCTGTCCCCGACCCCAGGCTAGGAGAGGAGAACAAGGGACACCAGATGCTGGTGAAGATGGGTAAGGCTCTGGGACGGGGGCGGGGAACACTCCATAGGGCGAGGCACTGGGCTCTGCCCCCCCAATAGGGTTGTAATCATGTGACCACCTCCTCCTCCTCCAGGCTGGAGCGGATCTGGTGGCCTCGGCGTGAAGGAGCAGGGTATCCAGGACCCCATCAAGGGCGGAGACGTGCGGGACAAGTGGGACCAGTACAAGGGCGTGGGCGTGGCGCTGGACGACCCCTACGAGAACTACCGCCGGAACAAGAGCTACTCCTTCATCGCCCGCATGAAGGCCAGGGACGAGTGCAAGTAGTGGCCGCGGTAGCAGTGCCCATCAGAAACTTCCACTGAAGGAAGTGGAAGCTTCTGAGGGGGTCTTGGCAGCCAGCTGTGACCCAGCCTTACCCCTGGGAGGTGGAGGACTGAGACCACCCAGGGATGGGGCTCTGCTGCTCACGAGGAGATACCCTGGCCTCGGCCGCAGCCACCCTCATATGAGGAGCTGCCGGTGCGATGCCAACCTCTGGTTTTCCTTACAGTGAAGCAGGCTGCCCAGTCCTCCTCATAATGGAGGTGCACTAGGCTGCCATCCCCGGTCAGCTCTGTCTTCTGGACGAGCAGGCACCGGATAGAAGGCTCCAGGCACCCAGGTGTCACCTCCCATCAACCCCTGAGTATAGCAGCGAGAATCACCAAGCATCGGAGAAGCCACAGTGGCCTGGGCGTCACCTCCTGTCCATCCCGGACACAGCGACAGGAACTGAGGCAGGGAGCATGCACTCACCAGTGCCTATTTGAAAACGGGAGCTGAGGTTGAGCTGGGTTTTCATTTTGCTCCTGAGGGTTTAGTTTTAGCAGCAGGGACATCGACCTGAGGCCATCTCATCAGCTAGTGTGGGATCTCCCCTCAGACACCAGCCCAACTCTTTCTGTTGCGAAGTTGGGTTAAAGTTTTGTTTTCTGTGAACGCTGGCCAATGACTCATCTGGGGAGCAGGCCTGGGTCTAGTACCTGTGGTGGTTCATAAGAAGGACCTGTCCCCCCATCTGGCTGCCCTCACCCCTCACTTGCCAGGGGCAGTGGGTGTCTGCACCCCACGCCTTCCAGCAGCCCGGTGCAGCACTGTTTATTTGTACAGAAGCATTTTTGAAAAATTCTTTTCAAAAGAGATGCCGAATGTTTCCAACTTTTGACCCCGATGGGATAAAACATTTGATTTTGTTTTAGATTTCCTGTAGCTGTGAATAGTTTGAAAGTGTCTAATTCAGGATAATACATAAACGTGCTATTAACAATTTGTGGATTTTACTGTTTTGCCTTCAAATAAAGGTGTTTTTTTAAAGAACTTAAAATCCTGCTTGTCTCTCAGCATGCTGAGGTAGATGAGTAAGGAGCTGCTTCTCTGAGGTGGAGTTTGGGGTCAAAGGCTCTGTCTGCCTCATGTCTCAGCATGGGTGTCCCCACAGGTAAACAGCCCAACCTCGTGTCCTGCTAGCTGCTCCAGGCACAGTAGCTGAGCTCTGCCCAGGCTGGGGTCCTGTGGTGGGCAGGCGGGGGCAGCCTGGCCCTCCTGCCTAACCCCACACTTCCCGTGGTACTGAGCTGAGTGAGGCTGGCTGAGCCAGTCTTACCTTACCCTCAGGACTCGTTCTGCACCTCCTCCAGGGCGGCCTCAAGGGTCAGTGGGGCTGGCTTATGACACCGAATGTACTGCAGGTAGAAGACAGAGTGACCAGTAGAGCCTCTAGGAACACTGACGTGCCACACAGGCAGGGGTGTAGGGACAGCAGCTTTGAAGACCAATAGGATGGCCTAGAATGGCTGATGCGGCCTGTGGGTGCTCTGGGGACCGTGGGAGCCCAAGTGCTGTCACCACATCACCGGTGGGGCCAGGCTGCCCCAAATAACTCATGTCCAACTGGACAGGTGGGGTCACACCAGGTGCACTGCTAGGTCAAGAGCAAGACACCAGTGGCACACCACTTGGCACACAGATGGAGCATGGGGAGCCCACCCCACTGTCATGAGTGCATGAGGGTCAAGAGGAGGCCCTGTGGCCCCACTGCTGCTCAGACTTCCTAGATTGTGAGAGAAAAGACCCCTTCACTAAAAGACACTTCACAGAAAATACAACAGCTACGACAAGATTTTGGAGACAGGAAGAGAGCATGATCCCTTCCACGGCCAGCCCTCTGTCTCTTAGAGGAGACGATACTGTTACTCAGGTTGGGCCACTGCTGGTCATTCAAAGCTGATGCCCAGTGATACAGCAGAGGCCCCGACCCCAATGCCCCAGCACCCCTGCTGGCCAGACATGTCTCCCAGGGTAGAGGCCACGCACCTCTTTGGCTTCCTCCAGGCTGTGATAGTGGAACGTGTCCTGGTCCAGCGATGCCAGAATGGAGGTGTGCAAGTGCCGGTTCACCTCCAGGAACTGCTGCGTCAGGGCCAGCTGCTGCCTCAGCAGGTCGTTGAGTGCAAATACGGCCGGGCTGTGGGCTGTGAGGGCTGCAGCCACCCCCGCGTCACTCAGCAGGCCCAAGATGCAGGCCCACTGCTCATCCCGCTTGCGGGAGGGGAGGCCGGGTGGCCCAGAATCACTCGCAGCCCATCCCGACTCCACCCACTGCCCCTCCCTGAAATGGTCCCAGCCTCAGCTGCTCACTTGTGTCTGCCTGGAAGAAGGGCTGGCTTCCCAGCGGGCTGTGCTGGGATTTGGAGGCTGCCCACACATGGCGCCAGCCCACCAGTCCGCTGAGTCAGTTACAACCCTACAACTCACAGTGAAGCCATGCGACTGGGTAGAACTGTCCTGCAGGGTTTCATCTTTATGGAAATAAGATTGCCTCGGCTTCCCCCGTGGAGTGGCTGGTGTACTTGTACTACTGGCCTTTCGTATAGCAGCACAACGTGTTATGCCACACCATCAGAGCTCCTTGCTAAACTACCCAGGGACTCTTTTTAGAGAAAGGGGTCTATAAACTGATTCCAAAAAGTATGTGCCTGTTACAAATAGCCATTTCTAAACCACAAAGTAGCCCGGAGCTGCTGAGATGATACAAAAATCCGGGGCTCTCCAATCCTGAGTAAGTCTGCAAACCTGCAGGGTCTGCTGGAGTTGGTTCTAACCTGATGGTAACGAGTTTTTGGGGAGCATGTAAACACTGAAGGAAACACAGAAGGGCAGGACAGTGAGGACTGAACGTCAGGTAATTAATGTCACTGTGAACAGCACCTGTTAGGGCGCTATAGAGATGTGGGGTTTTGCTAGATAGGCAAAACCCAAAACCAAATTTACGGCCACAGTGGCAGCCCTGACAGGCAAACCTTTGTGAGGCAGTGGAACTGTTCCCTGGGGTTTTCTTGGCTCTGATCTTTATAGAGCACATCACCAGGTCTTTCTTCCGCAGTGCAACTAGACTGCTTAAACACTCCAACCTTTAGGCTAGCAATTGAGCACAGACCATTTGTACCACCGAGGGGCTTGTATTACATACAGCTAATTTTATTACTTAGAGCTAATGTTTGGGGTTTTTTTAAATGAAGACAACTTGATGGGGAATTGGTGGATGCCAGATGTGCCGGTGCCATGCCTGCCCCAGGGCCTCTTGGGGAATCTGGCAAAGTCCAGATTCACTGAGGCGGCTTCCAAGGTGCCCTCCTCGTCCTCCAGACCAGGCTGGATAGGGCCCACCTGGCCAGTACCTGGGGAACGGTACTGACTGTGTGAGCGCCACCAGGGAGAAAGGAAAGGCTATGGACACAGGATGTGGAAGGAAACGTGCCAAGTCAAGGGGCCTTGTAGTGTGGGGGCACAGGCGCACCTCACTCAGCCAGCAGGGTGGTCTGAGCTCCACACACTGGGTCAGAGTGAGTCTGGCCAATGGGTTCCCCCAGCCCAGCGTGAAAGGACTGCCACACCCCCAAGAATGAGTGAATTTGTGAGCCCCACTCATGACGGAGTTCTGGTGGCTTAGAGGTAAGGAGCTGCACTGCTAACCCAAAGGAACGTGGTTCAAATCCACCAGCTGCTCCAAGAGAGAAAGATGGGCAATTTCCTGTGCGACTTACTGCCTCTGTAAACCTGCTGGAGGTCCAGCTGCGAGTCAGTTCCAACTCGACAGAACATAACAGTAATAACATACATGATGTGCTTGATGAGGGTCCACTGGCAGGCTCTTACCTTCGATGGCATCTGCGCTGACCACATGGCTGGCGATGGGTGTGGGGTCCACATAGGTGCCTCCCAGGGCAGGGGTCATGGTTGCTACACCAGCTGCTGCTCAGGGACAAAAAGGGGGATGAGGTGTCAGTGCAGGACACAGTAGAGAAATTCTCATCAAAAAGGCCATGACACTGAGACAAACTGTCCCTTCCTCTCTCTGAGCACAGCGAGCACACTGCTTCCTTTCTTCTCTGCCCTCCGTGACACTTCTCCACATGGCCCCTCCTCCTCATTTCCTGGGCTCGGTGCACCACTCATCTTCAAGGTGAAGCAGTGGCCACAGGTCACATCTCAGGAGTCTAATCCCTTGCTGTCAAGTCAACCTGGACACACAAGGACCCCACATGCTACAAAAGGGTTTTCCTGACTGATCTTAACAGAAGCCAACTGCCAGGCCTTTCTTCCATGGTGTCCGTGGATAGGTTTGAACCATCACCCTGGAGGTTAGTCGCTTGAAGGTGGGGCAGACCATTGGCTCCTCTGGAGAACTTCCTTGGAAGCAGCCAGCCTGGTGTCTATACCGCCCTTTCTACTTGCCCCTCACTGACAGTGCACATCTAGGAAAACAGCGCTACCCAACTTTTACATTGCAGGAAGTTGCAAAACTTACACTGAAATGTGGCCAGTTGCTGCCCACTGCCAGTGTACTGGACAGGCAGCATGATGGCGGGGCCAAGTGAGACAGCGAGATGGAGCAGCTGAGTCCTCGCCCAGCTGTACATGCAGAGTAAGCCTTCCAGTGACTGGCTCTCCTGCTGGAAACTGAGGCCCACAAAACTGCCAGCGGTGAACAATGGCCAGCTACCAAGCAGCTCAAGCAAAAAAACATGTCCTCTCTGGCACTGCGTCCCCAAAATACGTTCTAGAATCCTAGCTGCTGCACGTGCAGATGCATTTGGGCTTGGGGGGGTTTCTCTGGGAGCTTAGTGAGGCCATACCAGGGCATCACTTCTGAGGGACATGAGGGTCAGCACAAGTACAGGACAAACACACGGACAGGGAAAACATGTCACTCTGAGATTATGAAGGACTCAGGAACAGAAGCTAAGAGACGAGGCCCTTCCTCCAGGGCCAGCGGAGGGCAAGCCTTCCCATCAAGCCAGCGCTGAGTTCAGTCAAGTCTCCCCAACTATGGGGACCAAAGTTTCTGTTCTTGAAAGTGACAGCTGTAGAATTCTGTTCCAGCAGCTGTGAGGCCCTGGAAGACTGTCTGAGTCCAGGACCACCCAGCTCCCCATGTGACCTTCCAGCAGCAAGAAGATGGACGACTGATGCAAACCCAGAACCTGCCTTCTGGATCGACCTGGGTGCTCCTGGGCTGGGAGGACCCCTTGAAGGTGAGTGGAGACACAATGGTGTCTCTCTGGAGACTAAGGTGCGTCTGATACAGGCCATGGTCTTCACAATCACTTGTTACGCATCAGAGAGTTGGATAGGAGGAGAATTGATGCCTTTGAGCTGTGGTGCTGGAGAAGAGTATTGAGAGAAGAGTATTGAGAATACCATGGACTGCTAGGAAAACAAACAGATTTGTCCTGGAAAGGGTTAAATCGGGTGGCTCCTTGGAGGCAAGGATTCTGAGGCTCCGTCTAACATACTTTGGACATGTTGTGAGGAAAGACCGGTCCTTGGAGAAGGACATCATGCTTGGGAGGGTGGAGGGACAGCGCAGGAGGGGAAGGCCCTCTATGAGGTGGACTGATTCAGTGACTGGGATAATCAGGATGGGAGTGTCAGAGATAGTACGATTGGCACAGGACTGTTGTACATAGGGTCGCTATGAGTCGCAAGTGACTCGATGGCACATAACAACAAACAGCAGGGGCTCCTCCTGCAGGGAAGCGAGTGTGGGCTGCTGGCCCTGAGCACTGGGCAGCACCCCCAAGGAGATGCAAAGAGTCAAACTTAACCAAGCCCTGGGGCTGCCTGTCCTGGGACATCTGGAAGGTGCCTTTGTGCACCGGACCCCAGCTGGGCAGGTCATCAGAATGCTAACCTGACACTGCTCACGTCCCCTCATCCAGGTCTTTCTAATCTTGGCACAGCTGACACTGGGCCCAGGAACACTGGCTATGGTCGGCTGACCTGTGCATGGATGGTGTGGAGCAGCCTGGCCTACACTGGGCTCTGGAACGCTGATTATGGTCAGCTGACCTGTGCACCGAGGGTGTGGAGCAGCCTGGCCTCCACCACTCGTTGTGAGAAGCATCTCCCCCCCACACACTATCCCTGTGGAATGATGACAAGTGTCCCCAGGAGCAGAG